TGTGTCTCAGGGGATACGCTCAAACAATGCATGCTGGGAGGTTTGCTAATATCCTGACTGTGTTTCTTTAGAAATATAATTTAATGAGTTGATTGAACTCTGTACAGTACATTCATTCAACTCATCATTTAAAGTTAGAATAACTAATTTTCATAAGTTCTAAAGTTGTCTGAAAACTAGAATTGTGATGTTTAATTAACCTGAAATGAATAAATAAACTTCTATATTTATGTTAAATAATAAGAAAAGTTTTGTGTAAATTACTACCTTTTTTATGGGGGCTGGGGCGTTGCCTTTCTTTGACCAGACAGCTTGAGATTGACAGGAACGCATGAATTTTTTATTATCTATACGGGCTGTAATTCTCATTTAATTCATTCTTGCTATAATTTTAGTTTTCTTTCTTTTAGTAGTTTGCTGGGTTTTTGTATGAGTGTAGACAGATATGAAAGAATTTGTTCTGCAGTCCTGTGGACTTAACATTCAGTTTTTCAACAAATGCATGAGGTCTAACAAATTAATTAAATGTATTTTATTCATCATAAAAATAGTTCTTGAAAAAACCTTTTTAAAGCCGGTTTTAAAAAATAGTTTAAATCCATTTACATTTATGTTTGTGTGCTAGCTCTCTTGACTGCTTAAGTTTGCACATTGCTACATTTGTTGGCTGTCGATCAGTGGAATACTGTAAAACCAGAGAGATGCAACAAAATTCATGGTTTCCACATCTGTGTGACTGTGAGGATACAATGTAATGCAGTCATCTGTAATGGTTGCTGAACTGCCCACACTACATGTACACCGACTGCTTGGTTTCATGCACTGCACATACAGTATGTACTGTATTCCAGTGGTTCCCCACCTTTTTCCTCAAGGAAACCCTTTTCTATAATTGTGTCACTAATTAAGTGACATATTATATGTATATTTCATATTATATTCAATGTATAACATTAACAGTACAGCACAACTTTTCTGACAAATTCTGTGTTTTCTTCAAATTCTTCTTTCAGCTCTTTGGTTGTTATTTTATTTTGTTAGTTTCGTGTTCAGGTCTTTGAAGTTTATACCCTAAATGATAATCTAAATTAAAAATTACATTCAGTTTTATTCACAGTCATGAATGAAATGCTGACACGTAGGCCAACCACGTATATTTTCTATGTGTATTTTAACTTTAACTTTAGTTTTCTTACACCACATAAAATCAAGAAGGCCTCACAACCCCCCATGAAGCTTTGGCGACCCCTAGTGGGGGCCCTGATCCCCAGGTTGGGAACCACTGCTGTATTCCACATCCTTGGTCCTATTCTCATAAACACACGTTTTCTTCAGCCAAATACAACAAACAAAGGAGCTCTACTTCCTGTCAGGAAAGCACCATCAGAGATCTACGTCTGTGTACGTATAGAAGCGAGCGCACGTCTGCTGTGCATGTGCAAAGATTTTAGAAGGCAGAATAAGACACACATTTATTGTCTCTCTCGCTTTAACCATGTGCTGCTGTAGCCTTTACATTAATGTGAGGGCATTAAATCCAGACTTGTGCTGTGTTGGAGGTGTCACTAATGTTACCAAGTCCTGGTCCAGTATGCAAGTTTTCAAGTTTTATGGGAAAAACATATCAGACACAGATTATTGTTCAAAGCAGACTATTTGTATATGTCTGAATGGGATCTTTAAGCTTTCAAGGAATTGCTCTTAGTGTGTAAGCTGGGAGGTTTGGTGTCGTACCTAAGGATACTATGACAAGTTTCATGGATGTTGTTGTTGAGAGTACCCTGTTCATATCCAGCTTCTGCACAAATGTCATCCTAAACTTAGCTTGTGTGAATCTGGTCAAACCCAAGTGGAGACTCCACACCCTTATTGTTTAGATGGTTCCCCACAGACCACAAGAGGGCACATTTTGCGTCCATCTGCGCTGACATACTCTACTCCTTCCATTCCTCTCTGTCATTTCAAGCACAGAAAAGGCCAAAATATTAAATTATACACAGATTGGGATGGATGCACAAATTAGAAGGTTCCAGTTAAAGCAGCGTTTCCCAAAGTAGAGCTTGCTGGACACATTTGTCTCTCCACAAAATTATTTTTAGCGCCTCAAAGAGGGAGTGACAGTTTGGAAGATCTTAGCAGAGACTTTGATCTTTTAATGACACACAAACAACACCATGCATACGCAAATCTCAGCAAGCTAAGGCTGACATGATACATTTCTAAATAATAAATGTCCAATCGCATTTTTGCTCCTCAATTAAAGTATGTGGCCCGTTATCTTCCTAATAAAGGATCCTAGGCACAGAGAGTGTTAATAAAACATCAGGAAACCAGGTGAGGTCAGATTCGAGGTCAGACTGCCGACCTTAAGGTCACCAAGCTGAATGTTTTACTCGCCTGTTCTGTGTTTGCATGGCTGTCATTCTGGGAATGAGTTGCACATGCCTCCGCAAGGATGCCACAGAAAAATGTGTACAGTCCACATGTGAGTCAGCTGTGTGTGGGTATGTTTGTATGCATCGGTGAGAGTTTTACTTACACACACAAACACAGACATGCTGCCATGTGGAATGTTAGTCTGCAGGCTGGCTGGTCTGGCTGTGGTGTCGGGTTGCAGTAGGTGTTCCAGTCTGTGACCCTGGCATATCTGTGTTTGTTTTATGTCACAGCCCCTCCCTCTGGGGAGATGACAGTCCAGCAGTGCCTGAGGGGATGAAACCTGAGATAGGCAGAGCTTAGTAGTAAACAACAACTCCTTTATGAGGCAGAGGCGGCTGCCTGCTGCATTCAAAGATCTGAGAGTGTGACAAAGATTTTTTGGTTAGGGCAGTGGCTACTAAAAGTGAGGGTCCCCAGCACCCCTGGGGGTCCTTCAGGGCACTCTGGAGGGTTGGTGGGGGGAGGGCAGCAATAAGTTTAATTTCACTGTTTGTTCATTTAAAGTTAATCTGGTTTTAGCTTGAGATAGGAGGCTAAAATGTTAGGTAACATTGATGGAGTGATATTTCCTGATATTCAGCTCTCCAAGTACCACATTTAAATTACAGTAACACAGGCCGACCCTATTTAGGGTCTATGGACAGTTCAAACAGGAGGCAGGTTTATTTCTAATGAGAAGATTATTTAATAAACTGTTCAAGAACCAGAGTTAATCCGGTGGAAGAGGGCTTCTCCTGGTCCACACTTCTCTTCCCAGTATTTCCTGTGTGGAGCCACGATTACGGTGTTTATGAACCGTTCATTTTCCCTCTGCTTACTATCTTGCCATCACATTTGCAGGAAATGCTAAACTTATTTTAAATTACATGTCAGCAATCTCATATTTCAGGAATTTTCATTAAAACATTTGTAGCATTTTGATTGTATTGTATGTTTTTAGATTAATTAATTTAATTAAAATATATATCAGATATTAGAATCAGAGATTCCTCTGGGTACCACTAGAGGCAGCACACGTACCACCAGTGGTAGACATACCATAGTTTTAAAACCAGAGATATAGAGGAATATTTAGATAGCTCACAGCCTCCATTGTTCCGCAAATTATTGTCAACTGTGATGTAGTAGTAATAGTAGTAATGTTAACATTAGCCCTTGAATATGTTACGTTACCTTAAACGTTGCCGTGTGGCCTACCTGTTTCATGGTTGGCCTCAGCTGTTTTACTTTGTCACACATTTCCTTCCAAAAAGTCTCTTAGATTGCTGGGAGACACAATGCTACTAAAATGTTGCTAATTAGTTTTGCAGGTCAAGCAGCCTAGCAACGTGTAACAAGTCAAGTAATAACAGTTACTTTGTTCTGACAAATCTATGTCCCTACAACTAACTATTTTATTTTTGTGTGTGGAGGCTGCTGCTAGTCCATAATAAGGTAATATAGTAATAATTAAATTTGTTTGTACAAGATGTACAAACAAACAGTTTTATGTTAAAGGGTTTTTTGTTTCAGAAATATCCAAATGGAAAAGTAATTAAAGTAAAATATTGTGTGTGTGAGACTAACTTGAACAGCGCTGTTCACCACAAGAAATGGAAACAAACATCATCATCATCATCATCATCATCATAGAATAATGATAAATCCCAATAAATCATAAAATATAGGCTAGTATGACAGTAGCACGAGTAGACAACAGTCATCAAAGGGCCAGTGTGTAGGATTTAGTGACATCTAGTGGCACAGTTGCAGATTGCAACTCCCTCACTTCACCCTCCCCTTTCAAGCGCAAAGGGGAAACTATGCCACTATCTACAGCCAATGTTTGGTTTGTCCATTCTGGGCTACCGTAGAAACATGGCGGTTCAACTGTCTGCAGATTTAAAAGGCTCATTCTGAGGAAACAAAAACAATGATTATATTCAGGTGATTAAACACCATTAAAAACATACCTATGAATATTATATTCCATTTCTGCCAATAGATCTGCCTTTGAGTCAGCTCATTTCCTCAGTATGTCAGTTACAGCACAATATTTATATATATATAAGTTTAGCTAGACCTTATATTTTATATTACATTTCTGCCAATAGATTGTCTCAATGTTACACACTGGACCTTTAAAAAGTCCCACATTCTCATTAAAGTTTTTTAAATGGCTTTTAAATGATTTCATTTTATCTATTTATTTTACTTTATCATTTATTTTTGTGGACTAACTTTGTCCTAAATTGAATTTGACCAGGCATAAAAAAGTTTTTAATTGAACTCGCTGAAAGGTGTTGTCACTGTATTTAGTGAGCAGATTCGTTGTCAGCTGCTCGCCCATGCAGGGCAGACCGTGTTTTTATCTCGACCCATTCTCCTCCTCCACTGAATAGAGTTTGGGCGCTCCACTCTCTTCTTTTGTTGTTGAACGCAGCCCGTACAGTCCGGCCCCTTCCCCTTCCCCCTCGCTCTCTTTTTTTTCTCCACCCATCCTCCCATCTCTCACTCACTCTATTTCATCCATCCAGGGTGACGCCAGTCTCTCTCACCCCGCCCCGTTCAACTCAGTCCGCTGCGTTCATTTCATTCCTGCTCCCATTCCGCGCATATTTCGCATCCTTGGAGAGACGCTGCGCATTTTACGCACTCAGCGCGCCCGATCCTTCATTAAACCAAAACCGAGAGGAGACTCAGGAGTTGGCGGAGTGCTTCCCGATGCTGTAGGGACTCCGATCCGTGGAAAAGTGTGGGAATTAATCCATAAAGAGGCGTATGAATCGAGGTAAGTTCCCAAGGAGGAGTCCCCCCCTCAGCCTGTAGCCAGCGCGTCTGAAAGCCCCCGGACGTTTCGCTTGTTTCTAAAACCCTGAAGTGGTCACTGAAGCTGAAATTACAATAATTTCGGCGACATCGACACACTCAACCCCCTTCTAGATGTTAAACAAGTCCAACAAGCTTATTAATGCTCTGCCGTGTGAGCCTCAAAGCGGAGGATGTCGCTTTCACTTCAGTTTTATCCTCCTTTCTACCGACACCAAAAAACCAACCTGGCTTTCTATCACTTCTTTCTCCCGTATACCAAAATACAGTCTGCCTGTTATTCCTCCATCAGAGTTAGGTTCATAAATTGACCTCCGTGTAACGCGAAAAAGGATGAAAACATTTTCGCTGCGGCGCTGGGAGGCAGCTTAACAAAGCTGGGAGTGAATGGGAGACTTGTTGCATCGGCGGGGTTTTCTCTTTCCCTTCACAGGCAGGCCCCAGTCACAAGAACAGGCCATAGGCTGATAACATGCACACAGCCGGTGTTTACCCTGCGGACAGAGCACATTATATGCTGAATGGAAACACGATCATAGAGGCTGCCGTGGATTTCTGAACGCATTTACTCCTCCTCTCCGGCTTTAGGATTTCAAACTCATTTAAAATAACCCTAATTAGAGTTTCCCTACATTTTCCAGGCTGACTCATCTTTCACTGTAAATTCATGTTTTACATTATATACAGCTTGTAGACTATATTGGTTAAGGGGCAGTGAGGGTCATTTTCTGAAAATATGACACACACAATTTGTCACCTGGTTTCTTTCTAGTGATTCCAGCCAGTTTAACCACTGTTTCATTTTACACCGGCTCACGTCATGTTTGTTCTAAGTGTCTGTGGTGGCTGGTTTTAATTGTGTCAGAGACATTCTAGCTTTTAAAATCCCCTTCAGTATCACCAGCCCGTAATATCCCTGTATGAGCTTATAGTTGTGTTGTGTATTTCCTTTTAAATATTGATTAAAGGGCTGCTCTTGTCCTTTATAGCAAGAGATCTGTGGTAATGCAGGCCAAACCACAATGTAATTATTGGAGAAGATTACAGCCTGTAGCATGAAACATAGTAGCTGCATTACTTCTGTAACAGTAATCCATCTGTCAGACGAGGGTGGGGGTACCGTTAGATAAAAGGGTTCTTTCTGATAGAATTGATGTGGTTGAGTGAAATTGTCAAATGAAGATAAATGTTTTGTTTTGTCCATGAAAAGATGCTGTACGCTCAGGGAAAAAACGACAGTCATTATCAGAGACAGGTGAAATATACATTTTTTTTTAAGGCTGCAACTAACGATTCCTGTCATCATCGATTTAATCTGCTGATTATTATTTTCTCAGTTAACTGACAAATAGTTATTCCTATAAAGTGTCAGTAAATCAGGAAATCTGCCTATTATAATTGCTCCAAGCCCAAAACAATATCCTCTAATACATTGATTTGGTCCATCAGCAGTCCACAACTCAGACATATTCACTTTACAGCGATGTAAACAGAGAAAGCTAGATCTGTGCTCAATGGAGTTTTGCCTGAAAAATGAAAAATATAATCAGTAACCAATATAGTTTCGGATAAATTGTTGATCAAAAGACCGATTTTCACCACAGTTACCACACACATTAGTGTGTGAAAAAGATGGGGATTAAAAAAAAAATCTGTTTTATTCCATTTGTGACACTGTAAAGGTCAATTATGCACACTTATTTAGTTTGTAGAGTAAGTTTTGGTCCATTTGTGTTAGCTGGTGTAAAATATTGATATTTGAGATTAATTGATGCTCTACACCAACAGTATTATTGATGCAGTCATCTCTACTGAAAATGTGAGAGGTGACTGTATTTCAAGATATGACACAGATTAGTTTTTTATTTTTAAACCTCCTTGTGAAAGTTTTAGCCTTGATTTGGGAGCAAATTTCACTTTTAGTTCTGTCTTTTTATTCCTTTAAAGTGTTCCAAAATGATAAGTAAGGCAGTCCTGAAAGTGTAACAGAGGAAAGAGGATGCGTGCGTGTGTGTGTGTGTGTGTGCGCGTGTGCGTGTTTGTGTGTGTCATTGTCTTTGCTGTGTCTAGGCCTGTGAGTGTACAAAGCTTTGTCAGTCACCCTGGGCAAACAGCCTCCCGCTGTCCCTCCACTTTCCTCCCCTCCTTCCCCCCGTGCCTCTCCCTCTCCAGTCCGTTGACATCTGTTTTGAGTGCTCCGTGCACCTGTAGAGACCAGGGAAGTGTATGTGTGTGAGTGTGTGTGTGTGTGTGTGTGGAGAGAGAGGGGAGGAGGAGGACGAAGGGAGGTGCAGAATGCAAATCCAGGCGTTTGTTCAGGCCCTAAGCAACGCAGACTGACTGACTAACGACCATTTGGTGTGTGTGTGTGTGTGTGTGTGTGTGTGTGCACATTTGTGTGTGTGTTTGCCTCTTGCTGTCCAGGCCAGGCAGGCCTATTGTTGCGGCAGCAACAGGCGTCGGTGGATGAGGACGCACCATATGGCCTCTGTGTGCTTTAGTCACAACCGCTGTGTACGTGCGCATGTTTGTGTGTGTTCATGTACTTCACCAATGCTGTGACAATATGGTGGAGTTGCGAGCGGCGGGCGGCTCGCTGCCGTCCTCCTTGTTGTTTCATCTGTCGTCTCATTTCTAGACAGGAGGACAGAATCCGGCACACAGATTTTTATGGAGTCGGGATTAGGAGGAGTAATCTTCCTGGCATGAAATGATGTCTTGTGACGTCCAGATGTAGAGCCACTTTGTTCATTTTTATTCAAATAATTTAGTGTGTGTGTGTTTAATAGATTCAGCGGAGAGATTCAGATTGTCAGTTTGGATGAATCAACAGGTGATACAGTGAAACCTGGAAATTACCGGATGCTTCTGGCTGAGAGGAAGGCGGTGTTGTTGTTGGAGTTATTGGGGTGTAAATTGGAGAATTTTCTGTTTTTAAAAAACACAATTCATTTTTAATTGGAATTAAATTCACCACCTACAGTTTCCTGTTTTGTACACATCTTGGACTATAACAGCTCCTGCGTTTTCTTTGCTTTTTGCTCACAAATGTAGGGATTTTGTGCTCTCTAGAAAGTGACAGGAATTTGGCATGTAGCAGGATGACTTAGGATAAATAAACACATTTAAAGGGGATAAAAGTGTCAGTGGAGGGGAGCCTGAGCTCGTATGTAATGAAATTTCGGGAGCGGAGCCGGTTTATTAGAGCAACAATGCTGAGTGGGTGGGGGGCAGGGGGCAATGGGGGTAGGTGGGGGATAGAGAGGGTGGGTTTTGGGGTGTGGGAGTGAGGTGGGGGGCAGGCTTTGTTTAGGGGATGGGGGAACAATAGGCATCCTCCTGGGTGGGGTGGGATAAGGGGGGGTGTTGGGGAGCAGGGGGGAGCTGGTATCTGGCTGCGGGAGGCTGTGGAGCCTGTGCTGGCTTGTCTGACTGCCCGTCTCTCCTCTCCTCGTCTGTCAGTCTGTCTCTCTCGCCTGTCCACACTGCAATACATCTCAAAGTGTATCTTTTTCTTTGGTTTTATCTTAACTGGGAATCACGTAACTCAGTATGAGGCTATCAGCATATTTTGCCGCCAATGATGAGAATAATATTACCATACAGGTGATTCTGCAACATATTGTGAGATAGTTATCTGAGCATGATGTGTGCAAGCGAAGAGAAAAACATACTACATAGCAGGATCTACCTCAGGCTGCTTTTATCCTCTGCATAATACACATTTCTCAGTCACGCAAAGTTTTATAAAAGTTGAGATGAAACTACACATACACTTTAGACAAATGCTAAACAGCCATAATCCGCAAGTTGAGACAGAAAATGTCTGCAGTGAAAGAAAACCGCTCACTATCACAAGCAACAGATTGCGGTGATGGTCCCAGTATATCAGTAAAGTATCATAAGAGACCACATCAGGATATGAATAAAATGTCCCTTCCATAATCCCACAACTTTTCTAATTCTGTACATAAAGTAACTGCAGTAGTGTGGACAGGAGAAGCAGAACTGTGTTCCAGCATCTCTTACAAATGTGGCTGACACACTTCTGCTCAGCTGCAATGTCAAAAAGACTCCAAATCTCTCTCAGATGTGTTTTCCGTATTCAACATCAGCAGATACAGAGTATGTTTCTCTTTCTGTCAGGTAACTGAAGGAGCTTAAAGCACCGTGAGCTATTATTAGTATTGGTTTAGATCAGATCACTTGTTTTAAACTATAGTGAATACATTTACAGTTAATTGTCTTGGGGTTTGAATTTTTTTTAAGAAACATTTAAGGGAGCACATTAAATGAACAGATTTCCACCCTGATTTTATATCCCTGCTCACCCAAAAGTTGTGGTTTCCTGTTGCAAGAAAACACTGACCACAGTACAGTAAAAGTCGAGTGCAGGAAATCTTCTTGGAAAAGAAAGAGAAATATAAGAACAAAATTGTAAATCAGCAGGTTTTTTTGTAAAAAAAAAAAGAAAAGGGAAATTGCTTTGGAATTTTTTAAATCTGGGTTACCACAGTGGAGTGTGTCACCTGCCAAGTGAATCTATTCAACCACACTGCTTACAGTCACAATCAGCTTTATTGGCCAAATAAGTGGACATATAAAAGGAATTTGACTCCTTAAAGTTGCTCTCAATGTTCGGTAGAAATGGACACACAGCTAAAAACAAGGTCAACAGAGCTGAACGAAGATAGATCAACATAAACATAGGACTGTTCTATAAGTAGGAGAAAAAATATGTGTGTATATATAGTGTGTGTGTGTGTGTGTGTGTGTGTGTGTGTGTGTATATATATATGTATATATGTATATATATATATATATATATATATAAAAAGCAGCAATGACAGACTGAATGATTGCAGCATAGAACTGGATCAGCAGTGCCCAAGGCTGGCACAGGAAGTACATCCTCTGCTGGCCCTTTTTGTTGATTGGACGTCAGCTCCTGGGAGACTGTGG